CAGCCCAGGATACGGCTGGCTTTCATGTTGCTTATTCTAAAATGGTTAACTGCTGCTGCTTGTAGGGCACGTGTCCTTCTCTGTCAGTTCAACGCATCTAACGCTAGAGGACAGCATACACACAGTTTCAGACAAGATGGTTCAGCACTTCATGTTTACTTTTAAGTTCTGAAAGTTGAAAAAGTTACAAACAAGCATTTTTGCCATTCAGCTTTGTCAAAAGAAATTAACATAGGAAGTAGGCACATCTTTGTTAAAGAACAGGACTTCATATCTTACAATGGCAATCAGCTGGTAAAATAAGATTTATTTCCAAGTTTGTATTAAACACATACCAAGACAAACATGAAAGGTGTTTTTTTTTTTCATATTGCACCACCAAGATGAATTTTATCCATTATCTAGTGAGCTATATTGCACATGGACAATCTGGTTCATCCATGTTTTTGAAAAAATTACGATACAAAGGCAAGATAATCCAATATACTCTGACCAGGAGTAAGTTTGGGAATACAGAGTAACGCTTGACCAATTGGTGCGTTTGCATAAGCTGCCTCCTTACAACCCTGGCAGCTTGCCTGCTGAAGTTTTGCCTCAGAGCCTGTTGGCAGATACTAGTGCGACTCAAAAAAAAAAAAAAAAGGGTCTGTGAGACCATTGGGAACATTGGAGACAGACATTCCAACAGCAAGGTCTACAAGGCAAAGGAAAGTCACACCACAGGCAACTCTTCTGGGTTCACTGAGGTTGTCAGTCCCCCTCTCTCCCTCCCCCACCCCATATAAAAATCTCAGTTCAATCATAAAACTTCTGGCCATCAAAACTGACTTATCATATCAATAGAATTTGCTTTATTTCAAACTACACATACAGTACACTTCTCCCAGAAACTTACTTTAACCTCAAGACAAAGGAGAGCCACGGTTGTCGTAATGCACAAGAGGATCAACAGGAGTATATAAAAACTAAGAGCTATTTGCACCTTGACACCTTGCATTTGTGGTCAGCATTACAAGTTTGCAAACCAGGAGCAGATACCATTTAAAAGTTTAACATATGCAAGAGTGATCCCAAACCAATTCCAGAGGAGGAATTACTACAATTAAAAAAACTGTGCGTTCATTGTATTTGTACAAGTGCAATATTTAACAATTTCAAAACAAAAGGGTAGCAAAAATGAACACACCAATTTATTCAGTACATCAGAACCAATTCTTACAAGACTACAAACAGGACTTAAAAGTAGGATTTGCAGCTGGTCCCTCATCTCGATCTCAGGAGTTCAAACCCAAAGCTTTATGTAAGGAGAACCCCTCCTCTCGGCGACACAGTAATACATCCTTGCATTACAGGGACCGCGTGTGACACTCGAGCATAAAGAACTCAAGTCGTAACTTGTACCTGCACATGACAGACCACACAGTTGCCCAGTTCAGAACACAGTTACAGTGGTTCCGGGGCTTAAAGCAGCTTTGTTTCTTCAGATTCTCCACATGTTCGTAACAGACGAACTTCTGGACTGAAGCCAGTTGGCCTGGATTAAAACTGTTCTACCTGTAGCGAGCAGTTTTCCCTGGATGAAGCCTCAGACTCACTGGTCGTTGGCAAGAATCCCCATACATTTTAAGAGTCCAGGTTTCACTGTTCACAGTAATGCCTTGATTTCCAATCTCTCCCTGGGAGAGCAACCTTGGAAACTGAGTAGGTCATTAGATTTGTTTGGAGGAGAACATTAATTATTGAATGCAAAACTAAACATTTTGACATACAGTTTACTGTTTATATTGATTACTGCTAGATAAAAATGCAGCTGTGGCTACTTACATCCAATTTACAAGAGACTACATGCTTTGTGCAAGTACTAGCTGTGATCTTAATGTGTAAAGTTCAATTTTCTTCCTGAAAAATTGCAGAAAACTGTAAATGCATAAGGATTTATGTTACTGGTAATTGCAATCTACTGTTAAAAAACTTTGAGTATTAGCACTCAAGTTGTTTTCAGTGTTCAACTGGAGGGGTGGACTATTTAATTTCACAAATTAAATAGCAGTCTGCTATAAAGGTGGCCTGTGAAAACCTAACGTACATATATATATATAGTTTCAAATGCAAGGTGAATTCTATATTGTATATGCTAAGTTAACATATGATAAACAGCTGTATCAAAGTAGTAACATGTATTTTTAAAGACTGCCCATTTCAGATTCAGGAATAGAACGCATCAGCCCTCAGGCTGTGCTCTGAACTGCATGCACTTGTTTCTACGGAAAAGGCTTCTCAGTGGGGAGCTGCTGTGCTGCTGACACACAGAGGTACGTGGACAGAGCAGCAGCTTGCTGACGGTTCTTCGAAAAGCAACATTCTGGTTTAGCCCACAGCGCCAAGTCTTCTCAGCATTAAGCCTCTCACGCCTGCTGTGGACTCACAGCCCACAGAATTTCACCCTTAGTGCATTACAGAGCACCTACGTGCATTCCCAACTGGATGGATCTGCATGCATTTAATCAATTTTATCAGTTGTTAAAAGGTATTGCATTGTAATGCATTCTTTATGATTTACTGCCAAATAAAGGGGAAGAAACACAGCAGTTTTAACATGTTACTGTTAGAAAACATTGATGGTTCTGACCAACGGAGGCAGAGCTGTAGATGGTGACCAACACGTCACACTCTGGTCAATGAGCAAGTGTACATTGACTTACAGTGCATCAGATGTGTGTATTCCCAGTGAAAACAGACAAGAAGGTCCATCTAACTTAAATGTCATATGTAGCCTAATGTGCACTCAATGTAAAACATTAGGAATGCTGCCCAAAGGGCATATGATTTCCTGTACCTGTTGACACTACCGAATAGCAGACAATCAGAATTCACTCCAGCTTCAAAGTAATATACGTTACCTGCCCATAATCATTTAAATCCCCGTGCAAACTGCATTCTGTGGCTAGCTTTTTCAGCGCCTTAGTTAATTTAACTTGACTATAATTGGAAGCATCAGACTATGATTTAGGCATGCTTATTGCTATTAAAAGAAATAAGCCCATCTTCAAACCTACTGTGCAAGTATTTTAATAAGATTTGCACACATCTCAAAAAACTCTATTGTATGACTCCCTGGTCTTGGAGTTAAGTCAGCTGTAGAAGAGTCAAGCGAAGAGCTCACTGATGAGGTAAGGGATGTATCTGCAGATTTTCCTTGTGCATCAGCATCTGAATCTTTCTGACAGGATCTGTAGTTGCTCACAGAACCTGACCTCTGTGGAGTTGCAGTCCCAGACTTTGCTTCAGTAATTTCGTCTGGATGGCAAGGAGAGAGGAAGAAAATTAGGTATCAATATCAAATCAGTTATAGGAACAAACATCTTCCCCTCCTCACACTCCTAAATCTTGGTTTTTAAAATCTTAATACATAAACAGCTTTTGCAAAGTGTATATATTTGACACAAAAGCTTATAGATATAGTAAGACAGAAGCAAGTGTACCTGTGCAAATTACTCCCGTATTCTGAACTACGCTCCAGAATCACTTACATCTGGTTTAGACCAACACTTGCCATATTTTTCATCAACTAATTTCAGCAGCCAATAGTTCAATTTAGCTTACTTAGAACAAAACCAGGATAGCATCACAAGATTAAATCCAATAACACAAATATTTTGTAGATGCTTTTTGCTAGCATCTACTTTATTTTTATTCAAATGTATTTTCTTTGTATTTCGCTATTTATACTTATTATTTATATTTTTACTTTATATATGTATATATATGTTTATACATATGTATACATGTATATCTTTATAGATATAGATATATATGGCATTGTATTTCCCCAAGAGTTAAGCCAGGACTACAGCAGGCTGCCTTCCCCCAGCTGCATGGTTCTAAGCAGTCATATGCCCTCCAACAGGGATGGTGTGCAGCAGGTCAGTACATGGAACTGGTTAGTCCGCTGTACCTAAGCAAGCACATGGGCTGTCAGAAGGAGCAAGGCAAGACCTGCACTGCCGAGTCAGATCAGATTAAAAACTGTCATGAGACACAGCTTTATACCCCATACTGTAATCCAGCCACACTCCAGTAAATCCTTTTTCCATGCCACATGTTTTCCTAGGCATGTCATCTTCACCACTGGCTGCAAGCATTTCTATTTTAGTCTACTCTGCCCATATACAAGCATTGTCACCCGTCTCTTAGCTCCTCCATTCATTTTCCGGAAGGTATCCAACTGGGATTTGTATGCTGTGTTACTATCACTTTATAAAAATACCTCCTTCTACAGGTTAGACCAACTGCTTTCAAGACTTCACTTACTGCAAGCATACATCTCCTGTATCAAATTTTGTCTACTAGCATTGGTGGGTTGACTGGTATTAGCTGGCAGCTAGTACCTCAGCACAATGGGGAAGAAAACCGCAAAGGCAACAGTGAGAACACTCATGGTTAGAAACCAACATCATTTAGTAAGGTGAAGAAAGAAGAAAAAAGAAATTATGTAAAGGCAACCACACACCACCTCTCCAAAGCAGACTGATACCCAGCCAGTCTCCAGCTAACCTTCCCTAAACCCCCACCCCCTTAGTCTCTTTGATAAGCTAACACTGTAAGGCATGGAATATCGCTTTGGTCATGCTGGCTCTGCTCACCAGACTGCATCTCCTTCCAACTTCTTGCTCATCCATGGCCTACTCATGGGGTTCAAAAAAGTGAGGAAAAAGAAGGACTGGATACTATGCAAGTACTGCTCAGTAACAGCCAAAAGGCTGGTGTGTTACCAACACTGCCTCGGTCACAGATCCCAAGCACAGCACCATGTAGGCTGCTGAGAAGAAAATTAACTCCATCCTGGCCAGACTCAGTACAACAATGAGCAGTCCAAGTCACATTTAAATGCCTAGATGCCAAGCTTTATCTTCCCTAGGAAACATATTCACATTCTTACTTCAGGTCTAAATTCATGTTTAAATCTGGGGGTGAGGGTCCAAAGGCAGTTTAGATTGATACAAGTCTCACCTCTTGCAGCCCTGTCCCCTTTTGCACTAGTGGTATTAGTGCTACTGCAGACACAAGATGAAGGAGTTCAGGAGCCGATACAGCTAGAAAACTATTATTTAAGGAATGAATCAGCTAGCCATCTGATCACAGGAACTCTAGTCCAGGAAAGAATAAAGAAACACTAATACAGATCCAGACAGGCTTGTACTAATAAAGGGCAACACTTCCGAACAAGACATGTTTAGAATGATTTCCTGTACAACTACGTAAGTCTTCACATACCATCAATGCTGCGGAAGTCCAGTAAGTACGTCCTGCTGTCCACCTGATACAACTGCAGGCTCATTTTGGAATACGCACTTGTTACCGGATTCTTCCTTCGAACACGCAGATAGTATGGGTTTACAACCTAGCACAACAAAGATTTGAAACAGTTACCAGAACTGTTTGAAAAGCAGTGCATACTGGTTTTGTCACTTTGACTCACTAGCATTATCAAGTGATTTCAGGCTTACCTGTTGGGAGTTGTGTGGTTTTTTTAGCCTACACAAAAACATTCCTACATCCCCAGTATAAAAGTTTGGCATGTTAGCAAGACTTTTCTGCTGTCAGCATAAAAGGCCTCCCCCAAAACCCTTCCTGCACAGTACAAGCAGTCAGCACAGACACATGAGATTATCTTCCAGCAAGACACATGAGATTATCTTCCAGCACAGAAGAACACTGACTTCCAGGCTATGTAACTACACAGCCCAGCCAGAACACCACTGTTATCTGCTGTAACAATCTGTTATTCTTTTACCTTCCATTCATAATCCAGCTGTTTAATTGCTCGACAAACTTCAGCCATGATATCATTTGGTCGGCTCTGACTTCGTATTCCCAAGTGCCACTTAGCCCTTCTCACACCTTGGTGTTTTGACTTCTGTGGATTCAGCTCATCAAGAGTATGGCGAGGACGTGGTGCTTCAGCTACTAAAAATGGCACTCGTTCAGGATGAGGGCGAGACAGATGGTGATCATCAAGAAAAGAATCCGGTGGGCTTGTAGCCAAGTAGAAGTCTTTGGCCTCATTCATTATTCTTCTGTTATCTATAATGAGGTGATAAGCAACTGCTAAAGGGTCCTGATGATTTCGGCTGTATAGACAACTTAGCACTTCCTCTTCAGTGCATTCAAACTTCTCACACACTTCTTTTAAGGCTTCATCATCAATCATGGTAGAGCTGTATGAGGGGTCTTCAGGAAACAAGTATTTTGGAAGGTCCTGCTTAAACCATTCATGTTCCCTAGATTTAAAAAATAAAAAGAAATCTGAGTATAAGTAAGTAAAGCAAATGTCTTTAAAGTTCTTTTAAAAATGAAATTTTCAGTCTGCACAAAAACACAGTTGTCCATCCAAGTCCCCTTCTGTACAGCACAGACAATAAAAAAAGCTCATAATCACTGCCTTTGCAAGATTCTGCCAGACCATGAAAAAAATCCTGTCCTGTAAGCTACTATCCAAGCTCCAAAACCATTTTTGTATAACCCATCAATCAGATTTTTATAAACTGTGTATTTTTTTACTGCCCCATGAAAGATATTTTCAACTGAAATTCTTACACTACCCACTTGCACTGTCCCTCCCCAAGTACACACATAATACATCACAAAATTAAGAAGTGCTGCTGATGAATAATTTTCTGGTAGATGTCTGGACAAGGATTTTTGAACACTGAAGTCATGTGCTCCCCACCCCAAACAAGCAACCTATCATTTTTCATTCAGAACACCCCCAGATCTCTAAGTCTTAAAAGGTTTGAGGGAAAAAAAAAAAGCTACAGAAGATCAGTCTGTACCTCTTTACTACTGCACCCATGGGCTGGTATTCATAAGAGGATAGAAGGAACCAGATACCTACACTGTCCAATCATGCTGAAAAAATAAGAATGCTTTGTGTGCCCAAAGCAAGCTGCTTAACTAGCCATGATGCTAGTTTTGAAAGTATGCTAGTTTATAGCATAAAGACTTGCTACACATTCAAGAGCAGTTATATGGATCTGTGTTTAAGCTTGGCTGGCAATTAAGCACCACACTTTTGTGCTCCTCCATCCTAGGCAGTGGACGAGCAGCGTGAGAAGGAAGAGAAGCCTTGACACTCCAAGCACGCCTCAGCAGCAACTAAAACATCCCTGTGTTATCAACACTTATTTCAGTACAAAGCCAAAACACAGCCCTGTACAAGCTACTGTGAAGATATCCAACTCTAGCCCAGACAAAACCAGCACAATGGACTGAGCTGTGTGGCGGTGTGACCCTGACACATGCCTCAGCACAAGTGTGTCAAGCAAAATACACTTTCATCAGAAGCAACCAGCTAATCTGGTAGCAGGAACAGCTTTTCCTATAACACTACAAAGCACAGGCCTAGCTGGATGACTGAACCCAGAGTATTTCATTACTATTCGTTGCAGTGGGCCTCTCCCCTTGCCGACACACACACACACTCCTAGAAGAATTAAAGTACCCAATTAAATTCAGTTTATCCTCTAAACTGTCAGGTGACAAGTCATATGGCTGACAGGACTGAACTGTTCAGGAGTCAAAATCCTAAATCTCTGTTCTGTAACCAACATTTTCCAACATCTTTTTCACACTTCTCGTCTGGACTTGTTTATCACTGAGATAAGCTACGTTCCTACAGGCTCAAGTTTTACAATGCTTAGCTCTCACAGTGCTTTGATTCCTGCAAGGAAGTATTTCCTATTGTAATGAAGTAGCAAGGGATAAGCACACCATGTGTTTTTTGTTTTACTGAAAACACATTAAAGTTGCTGACTGTGCTGGGTTCAGCCAGG